CATGTGGCTTTTGTCTATTATGTCTTTGGTTATTATCATAATTGGATTGGATTTGTCTAATTGTATTCATCTTTATTATGTCATCTAAACTTATGCAATAGTTTTACTGCACCTTTCACTTAATCCTCTGTCTTAGATTAAGGAATTTATGACAACCAGGACAGACCTTGGCCATTTCTTCTCTTCATAGAACAGCACACCTCCACCTTTTTTTATTTATTTTTTTTCGAACAAAAAAGACAAATTTGTCATCATTTTTTCAACCTCCTGTCATTTCAAACAAAGACTTACTTTCTTCTGTCAATCACATACATAAGAACAATTTTGGTCCATACAATGAAAGTCAAAGGGGTCCGAAATGTTTTCAACCCCACTGACTTTCATTACATAGACAAAAACAGTTCAAATTATCTTCTTTTGTGTTCTGAACAAGAAAGAAAGTCATACAGCTTTGGAACAACATGAGGATAAGTAGATAATGACAGAACTTTCATTTGTGGTGAACTGTCTCTTTAAGAGTTGTAGAAACAATTTGTTCACAACTACAAGAACAGAAACTACAATAAGCCATAAAAAGTGCTCAAAGTGTGCAGGCAAAGCTTACGCACCCCATAACTGTGACCATCATATCTTGTCCTAACACTGATAGCTACATATTCTGAATTATATTATCAGCAACAAGCAGTCATGCAGCAGTTGACGCAACGGCACAGGGCTGACAAGTGACTGAACAAAGCAGTAGCAGTGTGCAGCTACCATTAAAGTGCACTTTGGCACTTTTTGACACCGAACAATAGAGCAATGGGAGACATGTGGTACAACATTACCATATAATAGCCTGAGTGAAATGTCAGCTACGCCTGGTGTATTCCAGTGGCATGTGGGGGACGACTAAAATGAGGAAGCAAATTAATATGTATGTGGTTTGCAGTCATGTGGAACCAATGGACTAATTGGTTCAAATTAATTATCATTTCATGTTTTATATGAAGTCATATCAATTTAATTTGATTGGAATGCAGCGTTATTATCATGAATGAAAATAAAATATAAAAACTGAAATAAAAATAAAGACTAACATAACTTGGAATCTAAATGGAATCTAAACTAAAATAGATTTTCATGATTGCAATGCTAACTAAAATAAAACAAAAATGGCCCAAATTCATTTTAGTTTTTGACACATGATATACTATAAAACTTGATCAATTTAAGGCCCGTTCACACCAAGGTAGATAACTATAAGAATAAATATATCGTTTTCAAAATTGTTCTAAATGAAAAAGAATAGCAAAATCCACACCACGACTAACCATAACGACACAGAGGAACAATATCGTTATAAAAATATTCAACAGCCAATCAGAATATATCCTGCTTTAAAGAGCTTGAGCATTTACAGTGGCAGGCGACAGAACTGCAGCATTAGCTTATAGTAAACAGAAGAATTGTGTTGGCATGGATGCTGATATAGTTATTGCTATCTTCATATTTATCATTCTTAATGTGAAGCTGCCTTTACACCTCGCCTGCATTAACAATGAAAATGCCATACAACACTAGACTGTTGAGAAATTTTAAATTATACCATTACATTTATTTTAAATTAATTAAGAATACACTTCTAATAAGCAATTTTATATTAGTATTTTGGTAGCCCTAAAATACTAAAACATAACTAAACTAAACCAAACAGCAATACAGTGGAAACCAATGAAAACTAAACTGAAAATAAAATTGACACAGAGGAACAATATCGTTATAAAAATATTCAACAGCCAATCAGAATATATCCTGCTTTAAAGAGCTTGAGCATTTACAGTGGCAGGCGACAGAACTGCAGCATTAGCTTATAGTAAACAGAAGAATTGTGTTGGCATGGATGCTGATATAGTTATTGCTATCTTCATATTTATCATTCTTAATGTGAAGCTACCTTTACACCTCGCCTGCATTAACAATGAAAATGCCATACAACACTAGACTGTTGAGAAATTTTAAATTATACCATTACATTTATTTTAAATTAATTAAGAATACACTTCTAATAAGCAATTTTATATTAGTATTTTGGTAGCCCTAAAATACTAAAACATAACTAAACTAAACCAAACAGCAATACAGTGGAAACCAATGAAAACTAAACTGAAAATAAAATTAAAATAAAACTACAATAATAACTCTGTATAGATGTGACCAAAGAGAGGGATAAACTTTATATGCTGTTGGACAATGTTACTCCACAATAAATAAGTGTTTTTTCACTATTTTATCTCATAGTTCAATATATTTATTTTTTTGTAATACTTCTGATTATTATGTCACTGCCTCTCCAGATAAAAACCCTCTATTGTATTCTCATGTAAGCCTGTCCGCAAGCTGAACTCAATTCTGTTTTGACTATGAACAACAAACCTAGATAGGGCAGAGCTAACCTGATGGCCCGACACCTGAATCAAGCACACCTGAGCTGGGACCGGGTAAAATGTGGGCCTGCTGTCACCGCCTGATTACTGATTATACAAGCCTGAGTCAGCTTTACATAGCAAGGTGGAAGTGATACCAGCAATCGAGAGATAAAACTGGTTCACTGTGACCTACAACAACAGAACCAGTCCTGTGATACTGATATTCCCAAACATCTAGGAAATAAAAGCTTTCTCTCACCCACCAAATGATGTCTTTACCTCCAGGGGGTCTGTTAGAGATCCCTTAACATTATTATTATTATACACACCTGAAACTAAAGCACATGCAGGACACTGAATGTGAAATCCTGTACAAGACACAATAAAACAGCTCATAAATAAGGATTAAATAATAAGTGTTAATGTGAAATTCTGAAGAAAAAAAAACTACTGCATCATATACTGGGATTCAGCAATCATTAATCAGATGTATCGACTAAACACCTTTCTGCTTCATTCACTATCACTGTCACAGTTCACTGCGAACAGAACAGCTGTCTGGAAAAGGACAGAGGCACAAGCATGTTCACCAATCAGTCACATAATGCACAAAAATTCACCATGGTTGTGATCAACTGCAAACAAAAATATATTTTTTCAATGGAATACAAGACTGTCCCCAGCAGATTTATAGAGGTCATTCCATTAAATGGGTGTCTTTTGTGTACTTTATGAATAAACCAAGACTTTAACAAAGAAAAACATGTCTACTGTCCCCATCCATTCATTTTCCAAACTGTTTGTCCTATGTAGGGTCACAGAGATGCTCTCAGGCTGATGGCCCAGTAATTTTGCTCTGTATTTTTCTTAAAGGAATAGTTGACCCAAAAATGAAAATTTTGTCATCATTTACTTACTCTCATTTTGTTCTAGACCTGTATGAGTTTCGTTCTTCTGTTGAACACACACACACAAAATATACAGTATATTTTGAAGAATGCAGGTAATCAAACAGTTGTTGGTAGCCATTGACTTCCATACTTTTTCCATACTAGAAGTCAATGGCTACCGGCAACTGTGTGGTTACCAACATTCTTCAAAATATCTTCTTGAATTTTCATTTTTGGTTGAACCATCTAAATGACTGAAGAAGTCCGTCACATGCCACCGGGAAGAAGTCCAGTGTTTATTATAAATTATTTATCCGTGCACATTAGTTTTTTTTAAATGAATGTCAGAATCCTTAATCAAATTTTTACATATATGAATAATTTACAATCTATATCTATATCATGAATTTATATAACTGGGTGAATTTTAATTTCATGACTTAAAAGATAAAAAATAAAATCCAAAAATTGTGTAATGACAAATAAATGTGACCCTGGACCACAAAACCAGTCATAAGTAGCACGGGTATATTTGTAGCAATAGCCAACAATACACTGTATGGGTCAAAATTATCGATTTTTCTTTTATGCCAAAAATCATTAGGATATTAGGTAAAGATCATGTTTCATGAAGATGTTTTGTAAATTGCCTACCATAAATATAGCAAAACTTAATTTTTGATTAGTAATTAATGTCAGAATCCTTAATCAAATTTTTACATATATGAATAATTTACAATCTATATCTATATCATGAATTTATATAACTGGGTGAATTTTAATTTCATGACTTAAAAGATAAAAAAATAAAATCCAAAAATTGTGTAATGACAAATAAATGTGACCCTGGACCACAAAACCAGTCATAAGTAGCACGGGTATATTTGTAGCAATAGCCAACAATACACTGTATGGGTCAAAATTATCGATTTTTCTTTTATGCCAAAAATCATTAGGATATTAGGTAAAGATCATGTTTCATGAAGATGTTTTGTAAATTGCCTACCATAAATATAGCAAAACTTAATTTTTGATTAGTACTATGCATTGCTAAGAACTTAATTTGCACAACTTTAAAGGCGATTTTCTCAATATTTCGATTTTTTTTTTTGTTGCACCCTCAGATTCCAGCTTTTCAAATAGTTGTATCTCAGCCAAATATTGTCCTATCCTAACAAACCATAAATCAATGGAAAGCTTATTTATTCAGCTTTCAGATGATGTATAAAATTGACCCTGATCACTGGTTTTGTGGTCCAAGGTCACAAATAGGTGTGCCAAACGCCGGTCTTTATGTACTAAACCTAATATATATCAATCACAAATGTGTAATAAAGGAGTAAAGTGTACACATGACACTCTATTCTGGATTCATTGTTTAAATAGCCGCAGTGACACATTTAAAGAGATCTACTGATAGCGACGCGACAAATTTAGCGACGTCGCGCTTGCAGTTTCATTCATTTAAATAGGAGCGTTCTGGTTTTGACGCGTCGCGTCGGTGAAATTGGGGCGTCAAGAAGCCACACCTACCGTAACTGTTCTCCTGTAACGAGGACTTCGGCCATGCGCTCCAGCTCAGCAGCCTTCTTCTGCATCTGAAAGAACAACTTACCATCTCAGTATTCATTTAGCCAGAAATGAATTGCAATTGTTTAAATGCAATGTTGTAGTGCATGATCTTTTGGAATCATTCATCGTGATGTCTGTGTTTTTCATTAGTCTCATAATCAGAGGTGATAAAGACGAGCATGCAGTTCTGTGCAATGAAGACGAGACGTACGACTTGAAAATCGCAGACACGTCAAATCTGCTGCTGTTTGTACCCGGATGTAAAACTCCAGATCAGCTGCCTGACATCTCAGCATCTCCTCAACTCGTGCATGCACAGGTCACTGGAGAAGTCATTCCTGAAGATGGGATTTGACCCTTTATTGATGGATAGTTTAATGCTGATTATGTGCAATGTCAAATAATATTTTTATTTTCCAGATTTGGGGTTTTTCAAATTGTTACTGGGAGCTGAGAAGGCAGAGGCCAAGGTTAAAGAAGCTGAAGAAACTTCTCATGGAGAATCCATATGATGGTCCAGCGGTGGGCATGCAGGAGGAGGCGCCAGGACCGAAGGTATACCACTGCTGTTTAGAAAGAGTTAGCCTGTACTCAAAGTATGTGTGATTTTGGTGTGTTGGGTCTACGTTTACTTTATTTAATTACCAATACGTTAACAGTACTTGTACTTTTTAAAAGCTTTGAAAATTTTAATTGAGCTTATTCATCTTGTCCAAAAGTCACATCAGATGTTTTTGTTTTTATTTTTCATTTGTTAGTACACTATGGATGACCTTCTTGAAAGAATACAAGCAAGCAGAGAAGAAATCGAGGCGCATCTTCAAAATGTCCATGCTTGTGAAATTGACGGTGAGCTAATGTTATGGGGTTTTTTTAACGTATAAATAAAATATTTGGAAGAGTGACCCCTAAAACAATGTATTATTTTCTGTTTTTGAAGATATGTATTGGATGTAAAAACATTTGGGGAATTTGTCGATTCAGAAATTAATTTAATTGGGGCAGATGGGTCCTACAGAATTGTTGTTTCTGGATGTTATTGTTATTATTAATATTACTATTATTTAATCTAGTAATTATTTTAAAGTTTTTATATTTTACAATTATTTTAAAATTCTAGAGTTAATATTTAATAATAAAAACAGTTACTGTTTAATAATGAACTTACATTTTAAACTTCTTTACTGTCTATCATACAATTATTTTATTGTATATAATTATTTTTATAATCTGATGAACAATTTTCCATTAATAAATATAGTTGACAAAAGTTAATCAAATAAATACAAAATTACTGAAATTATTTCAGATGTACTTCTGTACAACAGATTCTGTTGAAATCAGACATTTTTTTACTGAAGAATTAGTAGCGAGTAGTTTCATAATTGTCAGTTTCGTTGTATAACTAAATTAGCAAATGTTTCAGTTTATTCAACTTTAGTTTAGAATATATTGAAAGATCAAGTTGATGCAAAATTCTCTAAATGTATTTCAAATGATCAGTAAATGCATAATATTAATAAGGAGGGTATCTTCCTCTATTATGAGGATAATGTCTTCACTATAGGTGAAGGGAGTTGTTAAAGGGATAGTTCACCCAAAAAGGAAAATTCTGTCATTAATAATACAAAATTACTGAAATTATTTCAGATGTACTTCTGTACAACAGATTCTGTTGAAATCAGACATTTTTTTACTGAAGAATTAGTAGCGAGTAGTTTCATAATTGTCAGTTTCGTTGTATAACTAAATTAGCAAATGTTTCAGTTTATTCAACTTTAGTTTAGAATATATTGAAAGATCAAGTTGATGCAAAATTCTCTAAATGTATTTCAAATGATCAGTAAATGCATAATATTAATAAGGAGGGTATCTTCCTCTATTATGAGGATAATGTCTTCACTATAGGTGAAGGGAGTTGTTAAAGGGATAGTTCACCCAAAAAGGAAAATTCTGTCATTAATTACTCACCCTCACCGAAGATGAACGAAGGTCTTACAGGTTTGAAACGACATGAGGCTGAGTAATTAATGACAGAATTTTCATTTTTGGCTGAACTATCCCTTTAAACTCAGACCTGTGTTTGTAGGATTTTGGAGGATCCTGGATTTTGATTATGAGATGAAGCTCCTGGGTCATGTGACCCAGCTGGTGGACTCAGAGTCTTGGTCTTTCAGCAAAGTTCCTCTCAGTGTTTGTCTGGAAGAACTAGGATCCCTTGAGCCAAAGTGAGTTATGATGAAATATTAGAGGATTATGAATAGAGAAAACAGCAGATCATTGAAAAAAGCTCTTTTTTTTAACGCTCTACATTTGACTTGTTCTTTAATCAGATCCATGATAGAACACTGTCTGAACTGTTACGGAAGACGCTACAGTAATGAAGGTTAGTTTTTTTTATAATCACTGTGCATTATAAATTTGATGGATAAAGGACCCTGTCCCCCCCCCCCATTCACATGTTCGTATTTATACATTCCTTTTAGATGGACAGGTGATATATGCACTGGATGAGGACAAAGTATGTAGAGCCACAGCTCAGCTGCTCTTGCAAAACGCTGTGAAGTTCAATTTGTCAGAGTTCCAGGAGGTTTGGCAGCAGAGCGTTCCTGAGGGAATGAGCGCTAGACTGGATCAGCTCCGGGTGAGTTTAGTTTAGTTTAGTAACCCAGTTCATCATATTCAAGATATACACAGGCATTTTTGCCCTAATGAGTTTTTGTTTTATATTTATTTCATATGATGTAGTTATTTATATATACAGTGGGTACGGAAAGTATTCAGACCCCCTTAGTATATACTATTTTACACACACATATCTTGAATATGATGAACTGTAAACACACGCGTTTACTTAGCTATATAAATGGGGACATTACATAGACTTCGATTGTTTTTATATACAGATAGTTATACACTTTTTAACCTAAACCCACCCCTAACCCTACCCCTCACAGAAAACTCTGCATTTTTACAATTTCAAAAGTAAAAAAAAAAACTTTGTTTACTTTATTTTTATAACAGTTTTACAAATGAGGACATCCACAAATTGAGGTTTTTGCCGATTTTGTCAGGTTTTGCTCGCTTTTGGGTACAAATTTGTCCTCAAAATATGGTTAAGTAGGTACACACACACACACATATGATTCCACCCAATCAGCTTATCTTTGTAAAATGGGAGAGCTTCTTAAATAACTGAATGTGCACTCTTAACTTCAGCCAATCAAGCATTATATTATGATAATTAGGCACTATTTAATGATAGAACTAGTGATTAGAACTAAAACTTGGTAACCATGAATGAATGCATATTTGTCATTTTAACTGAACTTAGGACTGGTGGTGGTGTTTAAGATATTGTTGGTCATAGGTAAGAGTAATTATTATTAAAAGATACTACTACTACTATTATCTGATGGGTTCATGAATATTAATCGATTTGCTGACAGGGACGGTAATAGATGAGCGCCAGCCAACGAGAGCTGTTCGCGCATTAGCTCCGCCCACTGCCGAGAAGCCGAGAAA